GTACCATGTTGTTGGAATCCCCTCTCTTCCAGACATTGCCACTGTCTCAGTCTATGCTCACAAACTCTTCGGTATCACCGGGGTATCATGACTACCTCCTCTTTAGCACATCATGCTGTTTTCAGACAGAGCTTTGTAAAAGAAAAGTCTAGTGATGCAGATTTCACATGTTTTCTTCCAATGGTCCCGTTTACCACAAATATCCATATATATGATGTGTTTCTTAATCAGAACTACCTTGGAAGTTCGATTTCTCACCACCACCTTCCCTGAAAGTTACCAGCAAGCATTATTTCTAGTTCCCCAAATATGCATATTTACTTTTACCTCTAACTTCTTTCTATCTTACTCTTCCTAAACGCTCCTCCATCTACCGTACTGTCAACTTCCTATTTAAAAATCAGATCCTCTGATTGCCCTGTGTCCTAGATAAAATTAAGTAACTCTCTTCTACACTAAAAGTATTCATTATTAACATTGCCAGTATCACTCTACTGTATATTTTAACGTTTTAAATGACTTTCTTGCCAGCATAGATGGCCCAAATCAAATTCAAAATCTTGCAAGTTTTCCTAAATTTAACATATGCGCAAATTAACATTGAATGACATTAATTTAGCTAACCAGAATTTTAATATTTGCCTGCTGTGAAATAAGAACTTACTTTATGGATATATTATATATGGCAAATCGTGATATATTATTATTGTCACACAGTGTGGTTTAGAAATTCACTTTTCATATATTCTATGAATAGAAATGATGGCACCTAAGTTGTGGAAAGCAATGGATTTCTCCTCCCTATTGGAAAAATCCAGAATCCCAAGAACTGTTCCTCTCCAAAAAATGTTCTTTATACTATAGAAATTCACTAGTGGAGAATTCTAAACTGTGTGTCATTTTTATCCTTTACCTCTGAAGACACTTTCCTGACCTTATCCATTGCTAAAAACCCCTTTGTCAACATTTCTTTCCAATTTCCTAATATAATATTGAACCTGCTTTTATTCCTAGTGTCTCCACTATGAGTGAAAATCAATAATGTTACATGAGAACTTTATCAAGTAGATAATTATTAAATTATTTTATCAACTTATTAAATTAGATGGATAATGTTAAATGTTGGTAGCTACTAAAGTATAGTTCTGGCCTTGGGAACTTTACTAATGCTTATGTGTAACTCAAAAATTAATAACCTCTAAACTTTTATTGCATCAATGAAATAATATCATTTTGAGTTCCAAACAAGTAACTTGTGCACAGATTTATTATTCAAAAGAATATGTATTAAATTACAATTGACACTGAGTTTTGATAAAATTAATGGAAGTAGAAATATATTCATAAATCTCAAGAAGCTGAAAGCTTTATAGACTCATATTTTTTACTTATTAATACATAAGTAAAAGTAGGAAACAAGTAGAAAATACTGGCCCCAA